TCTTTGACTCTAAAGGCACCAATGATCTAGCCACCGGACTTCCGCAACGTCTAGCTACAGACTTAAAATAAAGCGCTTATTAGGAGGCAACCCAATTTTTCTAAACTCTTTCTTAATTTTAATTTTCGTTTGATTTTCTCTTTAATATAAAAAAATAAAAAATAAAACATACATAAAAAAAAAAAATAAAAAAAAAAAATAAAAAAACAAAATTTGAAAAAAATGGAAGATTGCATATTGATTTTATTTACCCAGTTTATTTGATTTTATTTTAATTTTTTTGACGCATATTGGTTAATTGCAGGTTGCGTGGAAAATAAAGCGCGTCCTATGCTGGAATCCTGCACCCAGCAGCAAGTCTAACGTTCACATCAACCACATCTACACTATGCTGGAAATTTAAAGCAGTCAACATAACAAGTCATTCACAGATGCAAGTTTGGGGGTGATTGTTGCAGATCCAGCACATAAACAGAATTTAGAGCAGTTAATTTTCTGCAGCTCAGTTGTGTGATGCATGGAGGAAGCACAATTAAATCACAGATCCATACACCACAGAACTGAGTACAGATATTATTACCAGATCTACAACAATTCCACTTGCAAGGATATGAAATTTTACCTCCCAGATTCACCGATCTGGGTTCTTGGAACCTTGTCCCGTTTTTGCCTATTGCAGCTGAGGTTTCGCCGTCCATTTTATTTCCCACGGATCCATCAGTGACCACATTTCCTGAACAGTTCACAACAAGAAGACTAATGACACTTTGATTTTCATGATCCAGGTTATGTATCACTTAAAACACACAAGCTTGTGAAAGTCATATTTTCTGAAGGTCTTATTAGTGTTGTTATTTGTTCATCAGTCTCCCGCACTTCAACTTCACTTTCATCATATCATGTTAGTCAGTATGTTGTTCGTTCGATTCATGTTCATACCCGCATATACATATGGTTTTTGTTATTATTTTTCAAAGTTCCATGGACGAAATAAATCATGACATTTAACCAAGAACAGGGCTGAGGTTATACCTTCATAATCGAAAGATCAAAACCTTCATGATGGGCCATGCTTTATGTCCAGTGGATGTTCAGTTTGAGAGTTCTTTCTCGGGTCTGTCACAGATCTGAGTGTTGTGCACACATACCACACCATTATAATTATATGCATAGGTGATGAAGCTATTTTCGTCATTAACCTACGGAGTACAAGATTTTTACCTTTTGCAGGAACCAGATCTGCCAGGTTGTAGCTGGTTTGCGTTTTCCTTGTCATGGCTAAACTTCCAGATCGAGAACCTGTGCACATAAAAAAATACCACATCAGTCTACACATGCAGTGTGGAGTATATGAGACGCACAAATGGACAAGGTTTACCTCTGTGGTAGGGCTGTTTTCGGATTTTTGCAGAGGAAGGTGTGTGTGGTTGCGCGGCTAAGGGTGAAGAGGAGTAAGGAAATGAGAGACAAATGTGATAGAAGGAGAGCTCTTTTTCATTTTAGAGAGCAATTTCTGATTTTAGTGAGAGCGAGGGCTGAAAAATAAAATGGAAGATTGGTAGGAAAAGGAATGCAGAACTGAGATGGTTTAAAAGTTTTTTTTAGCTTTTCTAGAAAGAGAGATGGACAAATGGGTTTATCTAAACCTTTTATTTGGAATCCTAAGGTGTGGTGAAACGGATGCGCGACACGTGTGCCTATTTTCAGCTTCACGGGCTACTCGAGGAGGATGGTTTTGCAGTGGTTGAGAGCCGTTGGCTCTGTGGTACTGACTGACACATAAAAAAATAAAAAAATAAAAAAATAAATAAAAAAAATATCACTGAGGACTGATAGGGATTTTTTTTCTGATAAGAGACATTGCTCACGCCATATGCAAATTCGCATGCCAGCTGCATGCCAATCAAATATCTCAGAGCATCCAATGCCATTCAAAATCTCAGAGTTTCTTTAATCCAATGGACGCCAGCTGCATGCCCTTCTCAGAGCAAGGCCCTGATGGAAGCCACGTGATGCCCTGCTGATTTCAAATACTGTGTACAGCAGGCGTGCAAGTGAAGGTGGCGTGCAAGTTGGTTTTCATTGCATGGGCTTTGTGTGGTTTTTATTTGGCCACACCTATATCAACCACAACGTCACTTCCAAAGCCAGGTAGTCTTTTTTCTTTTTCTTTGGTTATTGTTACTCATTTTCCTTGTTATAATTATTATTTGTTAGTTTAAGTTTATTTTATTTTTGTCATTTTTTATTTTAGTTTCTTTTATTTTATTTTCTACACCTTGAGGACAAAGTGTGACATAAGTTTGGGGGTGGGAAAGTAAATTGTTGTTTTTGTTTTTTTTATTGTGTCAGTTTAAAATTTTTTCATTCTTGTTAAGTTAATATCCATAGATTATTTTAAACGGTAGAACAAATGGACATGGTGAAAGTTAATCCCACATTAGAGTCTTTTCTATTTATCGTTGCTTAGACACTAATTCATGAATTATACTTTGAACTTTGCACATCACACCAACATGGTTTGTGGGGAGTGAGATTGAAATACTTGCTTTTAGTCTAAGTTTATTTTTATTTTTTATTTTTTATTTTAAGTAAAGTCAGTTATTAGTGTGAAAAAAAAAAAATAAATAAAGTAATAATTGTCTCACCCGAGGTTCTGCCTAGTAACCGGGCCAGTCCTGCCTAATCAGCAGTGATTCTCGCGTCAAACGGTAGAGTTTTGGCATGAGGCAGGGTGGTTAGTTGGTTTCGTAGCCTTTTCAGCTCGGGTTAATAAGTCCTTAGGGTGTTTCTACACCTAGTGTCCTAAAGCCCTAGTGGTTTGGGAGTCATTGACCTAAAGCTCGCTACATGGGTTGGATCGAAAGCTTAAGTAAACCGACATTGCACGACCACTACTGTTACTGGAAAAAAAAAAAAATGTTATATATGAAAAAAAAAAAAGTGAAAAAGAAAAAAAAAAGAAAAAGAAAGAGAGTTATATTTAAAGTACTATGTGTGAAATAAATAAGGACGAGAGGTAAGGGTTTTAGTCGAGTCTCCTTAATTATGTTGGTTCACTTTACACCAAAGGAAGTTTGTGAATTCTTTTCTAATTGATTCTAAATGGCTTAGACTCTGTGGTGGGATTAGTTGGAACTTTTGAAAAGATGTTCTAGTTTTTAAAATTTGCTATGGATTGCAACTTTGAAGGTGAAAATTTTTGTCAGTTAATTTTAGCTAGTTGTCTAGTTTATTAAGTTTTTATTTTGTTTGAGTCTTGTTTTGCTTGAGGACAAGCAAAAAGCTAAGTTTGGGGGTATTTGATGAGTAGATTTTATATTATATATTTTACCCTAATCTTAGTATATTTTGGTTAATATATTGGAAGAATTTTGATACTTTGAATTGTATTTTCAATATAGGACTTTCGACTTCCTCTAGAGCAAAACAGGACCAAATGGACGAATTTTGGAGTAATTCCAATTGGAGGACGTTCGTGAGTCAATTAGCTTGATCGTATCAAAATTTGGGATTTTTCCACCAAGCAGTTATTTTCTGGCGATGAAATAAAGAAGCAGTGCGCAGTGCTGGAAAGTGACGTTTTTGGGCTTAAATGACGTTTTTGGAGCCCAAGATGACCTCGGATGGGTTCGTGGCCTTCTGGAAAAGTGTTCAGAATATTCCAAACATCAAATCCAGCTATATTGGGCCAGTTTTGGAGCAGCTTTTGGGCCAAAACGTGGCTGTTCAGATTTTAGACGAATTTTACTATTTTTATTTAGGGTTTTTATTAATTTTAGTTTGCTAGGGTTTTTGTGGTGGCTTAGCAGATATATTGCTTGGCCGTCTACAGTTTTAGATAACGCTTTATTTTATGCAAGATTGGGGACGCTTTTATTTTATGCAATATTGGAGACAGAGAGAAGTGCTAGGGTTTTGAAGATTTTCTACTTGAAGGTGTTTTCAATCCTTTTCTTAATAGATATTTCTATGATTTCAATTATGAATATGCGGAACTAATTTCTTCTGCTAGGGCGAAGCCTTGAGCCTTAGCATGAATATGTGATTTTTATTTAATTGCTTATGATCGATTGCATGCGTACTTTGAATTGTTAATCACCGGGATAAAAACTATCTAATTGTCGTAATGCCTGATCACCATTAGGATCTTTAGAAAAGTAATTTGATGCAATTTTGGTCGGAAGGTTCCCTGAAATTGACGCTGGCTTCTTGTGATTAATAATTGTAATTTCTCTTAGGATGAATATCACGTCTTAAGGATTGCATGGTTTTTCAAAGGATTTTCATAAAGCATAATGAGTCTTTCATGTTCATATTTGATCCGAACGTCCGGACGGGTTGCATGTTAGATATACGTTCTACGTTGGAGGTTCCAAGTAGAATATGAATTAGGAAAATCTAACCTTCAAAGTGGTATGTGTAGATCATAAGTAATGGGTAAAAATTCATAGGATTACTAGGTGATGGTGGAACCCTAGTGCCTTCTCAATTTGATTTTCTCAAAACTGTTTTTTTTCTCTAGTCCTAATATTGCAGATTGTCTTATCATTAATAGTTAAATTCGTTTTTAATTTAAGTAGGTTATAAAATCAATCATCTAAATTTCTACTTTACAATCATTAATTGGAATCTGATTTGTTTCGAATTATTTAATAATCCCTGTGGAGAATGACCTTGCGAGATCCGCTTATACTACAATAACCTTGTGATTCTTGCAAGTAAAATAGAAGGTTTTTATCGCATTCACATGAGTTGTAAAAATTCCTATCAATAGCTCAAGCCAAGGAACCCAGGGCACATCAAAAGAACAAGCATTTTGACAGGCGCTTTAATATCATTAGAAGATATGCTGCCGAGGGGAAAGTCAACATCCTCAAAGTTGCCTCAGCCGATAACGTAGCAGATCCACTGACAAAGCCAATGTCTCAAATCCAGCTTGATCGTCATATGGATAAGATGGGTATTAGATACATGGGAAGATGGCTTTGAGTGCAAGTGGGAGATTGTTGGAAGTATGCCCACAAAGCCACTCATTTGATGTAATAGCTTTTTGGAATACTTAATGTATTAAACTTTTATATGTTTAATGAAGGGCAAATCTTATTGTTAATCACTATTTATTGTATCACGTGTTTAAGCAATAAGAGAATCCAAGGAATGTATTTGTTCTAAGAGATAAGTGATCTAAGTAAGTTAGATTATCGAGACCTTTCTCTTATGTTCATTCCTAAAACGTTCCTAGCCATAGGATTGCCAATTGGGCATTGACAATCCGCTAAGGTTAGTATGTGTTGTGTTGACTCAAGCGTGAGTATGACTAGTCTCAAGTCATTTGGTGTTGGACACTAAGACAAACACATAGGTGCTCGAAAGAGTAATCGAGTACACTGAACTACGATCAAAAGAGAGTTCGAACATACATGTCATGTATGAACTCTAAAGTTGCAATATGCAAAGTAGTCCTTTGACCTGAGGCATCATCGATGTCTAATAGTTAGGTCCTTGATCTTTGATCCTGTCAACGGCATTCCTTTGGAGTGTCCACGGCATTGTTGGGGTCAAGCTATCTAATCATGTAGGCATATGAATGCACAACAAGGGATCTCTAACCTTCCAAGGTGGAGGGAGAATACTCTAAGATATGATTCTAAAGTCTTTGGCCAAAGCAAATGAATATGACTTAGGAAGTTTGTTCCAAATCATATTCAAATGAATCATATAGGAAAGTATCACATTGGATAGTAGACATGAAACAAACTATCACTTAAACAATGTGATTAAGAGTATTGTATTAGAGAAGGACCGTATTGCATTGTAGTTGTAACTGGATAGGTTCTCCAACCAATTCTACTTAGCTTGGGTAACCATGATATGCTGCTAGGTGTCACTCATGGTTTGTGGAAGCCCTGAAGATTAGCAAACACTAATCTTAAGGGAGAATTAAAATGTGGTTTCAATTCACAATCGATCGTTAAGAGTAACATCGCCCACTGCCTCGCTAATTGGAACCTAATGGATCGCACACCACATAAGGATGTTAGTGAAGAAATTATATGAAATGGATAAGCAATTAAATGGTTTAATTGAAGAATGGTCAAAGTTAATTAATTAGTTAATTAATTATACGAAAGGTTCGTATTGGGCTTTTAAGTTAGTTTGGGCTTCGGGGTCCAAAATTGTTTTGGTCCACTAGGCCCATTATGTTTAAGTTGTATGACAACTAAAACAAATATGGGCATTTAGCCCAATAACAAAAGGAGGCCGGCCATAGCAAGGGTAGTGGGAAATTTTGCTTAATTGCAAGTTTGCCACTAACCTAAGAGATGAAGTATAAAGTCATCTTTATAGCTTTGTTTCTCATTAGGGTTTTTTCTAATAGAAATTGGGTGAAACATTTTCTCTCATTTTCTACATAGAGGCCGGCCACTTAGAGGATTTTTACTAGCATCTAAAATCTCTCTAAGTCATCCATATCATCTTCACAATATACATCTTTGGTGAAGAGACTTAGAGACATCAAGCTT